TTCGGGCTTCTTTCTGCTGTAATTAAGTTCCGCGGCCAAACTGTGGATCTGACCGCTCATCTCTGTCTCCAGACCAGGGGTCGCATCAACCATTTCAATCGACTCGCGAGCCTCAGTTATAAACGAGGACAATTCATTAAAACGCCACGGTAATTTATCAATAACGCCCTCTAAATTACGTCTACTACTACAAACAGATTCACACAATTTTTCTATAAAATCAGTCAAAAGTGAGAACTTTGACACAGCATTTGCTTGATGAATCCCTTCTTTTGCTGTCCCTCCACGGATTTAACAGTAAGACTCGTGAACATTATTCATTCATCTGAACAGTTGCTCAAAGCGATAGTTACTATAGACGACATTAACAAAATATCGTCCGCTATCTTATATTTATTTTATCATACAGAATGGCGCAATATTATCACACATGTAAGTGGGAAACACAGAACATACCAGCGAGCAGGGGTTGAGAATTAATAATCTAAGCTGAGAATGCATGAATGTGTATTTACGCATATAAAGACCTTTGTGGCATTCTTCTAGTGGCAAGTTATCCTTTAATGATTCTAGAATTAAGTAGGAGGAGGACTTGCGTGAAAGTGACAAACTATGCCAGTAACCCACCGCGAAATCTAACGACTGACTGGAAAGAAGCTACTTATAACAGAACTGGAGCTGAAAACAACAATTTGATGTTAGTGAGACATTAGACAGAAAGTCCCTCTGTCTAGGCCAGACACGTGATGGTTCTCTCGCTTTGAAGGTGTTGTCGAAATTAACTCAAGACAGCCAGGTTACAGCAACAACGATTCGGATAACCGAAACAGAAAAGATAACAGTCTGTAGAAAGAAACACATAATCCGCCACTGCAGAATCAAAAGCAAGTTTCGTCTGAAGATGAACACGGTAGTTCGTCCGAAACGTTGATAGTTGATACCCATAAACAAATCATAACCCACATGCTCGCCATCATCTTCACCGTCTGGAGAACCTAATATAATAGACGTATTGCTGTCGACATATGGCCGCCGTGGCCCGACATCAAAGTAAAAAAAAAAGAGACTTAAAATACATCTTTTGTTTAATATCCCAATGAACTGCTGTCGAGAAAAACAATTTTGGAGGCTACACACCGCAAGAGTGACGTCGAAGTTTATCGCAACGTCATGACGAACAACGCGGAAATTGAAGAGTCAACAAAGAAATGTTTCTACACATAATTCTAAAGTAGGCCAGACTTCCTAATGCTGGAGGTCTCCATGACAAATCTTCTGGCAAATTTTAAAACCAAACAAAATCACATTCATGGGTTGGTACCAACAAAATAGGCTTGTCCATTAAGAAAACAGTGACGTCAGCCTTTTTTTTGTAATGCTGCAACATTAAAGCGCCTTTTCTTAAGAAAGAGCGAATACAGAACACGAAGATGGCTGTCTTCTGGGTTGTTGCAGCAAGGACCTCTGAAACGTCGGTAAACTTCTACCAGACTACATGGTGCTACCACCCAGAAGACAGACGTCTTCGGATGCACCTCCGTGAGATCCTCAGATCCTGTTTACGAACACAGATTGTCTAATGAGTGTTATTTAAGACAACCACATTTTGGATAAAAGTGTCCGGTAAACCTACAATTTGCACGTCTGTCTAAAACTACGTTGGTCGCTTCTTAGTTATTTAATAACACATCATCAACTGCTGCGGTTATTTAGAGTCACACACTGATACAAGAATAATTATGAATGCAGGGAGCTTTACCTCAGCATCCCCATAAACTATAGGCCTTATAAATTTTGTATCTGAAGATGATTAGGCCTATCTGTAAGTGATTTCATAACATAAATATGATTAAAGGTGGTTTATGGGAAATTGCTGAAAATACATAACAGGGAACTTCATCGTTATTCCCTTTACCGAATGAAGGAGATTGCAATGACATAACGACGAAACAAAACATACTCTCGAAATGTTAGTGAACACTCATGCAGCTATAAAATCGATTTGGAATGCGAAGGACC